GGTGACCAAATACTTATTTTCCACCATAATTTGCGAATAAATTCATTAAAAATCCTACAATGTGATTTTCAGGATTATTTTTTCTCAATTTGTCTGTCATAGTTGACGTGTACCTATGATGAAAATTACAGGCCTCTCTCATCTTTTTAAGTGGGAGAATTTGCACAATTGGTGGCTGACTAAATACTTTTTTCCCCCACTGTAGGCCTATTATTGTTGAATATGCATGGTAGCCTAATAATGATTACAACTCTTCTGAGGGCATTGGCATATAATGCATTAATATCATTTTTGATTAATTTAAAGGCCTTGTAAAGCAACCGGCATGTCTATTGACTTTGAAATCAGTCACAGAATATCTATCAGAAATAAATACACTGAAGCCCCTGGGTCTTTATAAAACAAAACCCCAAATTAAATGTGTGAACAGATTAGATACGTGTATATAATATAATTTTCTTAATGTTAAACTACTGAGGAAAAGTTAGCCTCCATGCCATGCCTTAGAGATGAGAATAAGGAAAGTACTAGTACTAATACCTACTAGTACTAGTCGGTTTACAAAGAGAATGTCCCACAAATGGGCGTCTAAACCCACTGGGCAAAAACTGGTTCGATCAACGTTGTTTTGACGTCATTTCAACCAAAAAAATCAACGTCATGACATTGAATCAACATGAAAAACTGATTGGATTTGCAAAAAAGCATCAACATAAGGACTTTTTTTTTTTTACCCAACTTTTAACCTAAATCTAATGAAATGTTTTGTTGATTTCAAGTTGGATTCACGTTAGTTGACAACTGAACCAAATGTAAATCAAAACTAGACGTTGAACTGACATCTGTGCCCAGTGGGTAGTTTATGGAAGGTAGAAGATCTTTAGAGAAGGGCTGTTTGAGTAGTAACACGGGCGAAATAATATGATTTATACAACCATAACCAGTCTGGGTTGTGCCAGTATACTCCAGGCTCCAGTGAAGTCATTGACTCATGACAGGCTTGGTTTGATGGGAGGGCTTGAACCATTGTTTTGAAAAAGATGACATAGTGCTTTATTTATCCATATGTTGTAAATTATGGCATCTGTTTACAATATCTATAGCGTCCACGCCATGCCTTAGAGATTAAGTAACTGAGAATAATACGTTTGCTTCTAAGTATTAGTCTGTTTACAAAGAGAAAGTCCCACAAATGGGCGTCTAAAGCTCCTCCGGCTGAAGTTATACTATTAGAGTGCATAAAGTGCTCCTGTCTGCCTGCCTGCCTGCCGGTCTGGCTGCCATCAGCGGAGAAGAGGAGCATGGGGCTTTGGATGAAGCGGCTTGTACTACACAATCACTTCACAGATCCCCATGATGTGTGAAATTTGGTGTGCCCTGGAAGGCTGGAAGCTGAGATGGTGTCTTTTTATTCAATTCCAGTGTGGCCGACTGGAATTTGTAAGTGTATATCTGTTGTCTAGGCGGGTTGCAATAAAACTCGCCAGTTTGTAGTCCTAATATCCTGAAATAAGTTAACTCTGGTTTGTTCAGCCATCCCAATGGGAAAATGTAATGGGAAAAGAATAGGGTTTGGGAATAAATGCCGAAAATAATGTCTGACGTTAACACAGGCTTAGGAGATCTTATACATCTTGTTCTATGAAATAATAGCAGTCAGTTAACATGACCTTTATGAATTATGAAGCATTTGTGTTTTTTCTTTGTACATAAATTCACGTAAAGTTGCATTAGCTGATGGAGATTATCTCATAGAATAAAACGTATAAGATCTCCTAAACTTGTGTTAACCACGTACCTTATTTTCTGTGTTTATCCAAAAACTGCATTCATTTTCCTCATAGGCTTTGTCCAATGAGCGATGGCGAAGTTAGTGCCTACAAAAAGACGCCATTACTATTTCTCTCTATGCATGCAGGAAGCAGAGGAGACCGAGAAAAAGGAAGCAAGCAGAGAGAGAGGTTAGTACCTAGGGCGGCAGTTAGCTTAGTGGTTAAGAGCGTTGTGCCAGTACCCGAAAGGTCGCTGCTTCTAATACCCGAGCCGACTAGGTCAAAAATCTGTCGATGTGCCCTTGAGCAAGGCACTTAACCCTAATTACTCCTGTAAGTCGCTCTGGATAAGAGCGTCTGCTAAATGACTAAAATGTGGTTCCCAAACTTGGGTTGTCATAATTATGGTTAAAACCTGCCTATTTCTACAATGTAACTTCTTAAAATCTGATTTGAAACTATACCCTGAACCATAACCACACTGCTAACATTATGCCTAACCCTTACCTTAAATTAAGACCAAAAATATAATTTTTGTTTTCATTAACCAATTTTGACCTTGTGGCTGTGGTAACTACTGACAATCCCAAACTTGGGGTCGGGGCCCCATATGGGGTCTCCTGAGAAGAAATGTACTAATCTCATCAAACAAGTTAGGAACTTTAAAAAAGAAGATAGGTTTCAATATGAACATCTGTACATGGCCTATCTTCCCTATAGGCCTACACTAAAATGCAATCAAAACGCAAAAAATACAGTTCTAAAAATGTCCTACGTTTTCATTTATATCGATGTTTGTTCGTGTTATCTCGATCGCCCACTGGAGTTTATAGTTTACCCATTACCCACTTTTTGTTTTTACTACTACATCACTGATATTAATACAGAATCGTAAGTATTATTCTAATTAATGTGAATGTGATAATACGATCATCTGTGTGCTCCATTGATGTCTGTTTGTGCGGAGCTTGATTAGTAATGCCTAGGAATATAAATGTGAATGCTATGTAATTTAAGAAAATAGATATATTTAAAAAGTTGGGGATTTTATGCAATTCATCATTATAATTGAATGAACAGTCGCTGATGCTACGTGTCAGTGTGAATCATTTATCATATTTTCCCCCTTTCAGTGGTATAACAGTACAATTGTATAGCTCATAGCCTATGTGTTTGTAGATAGACTGAGGTGAATGAACCTACAGCAGCCAAAGTGATAATGTCTTAAACCCTGGTTACGGCTCTGTGCACATTCCATGTGCAGTCAAGTCTCTGTCAATTAGAAGCAGTACATGTACTTTGCTTTTTGGAAGAAATTAATGTTTAGTATGAGCTACTGTTATCGATCTTGCTAGTTCTTTAAATCAAATCAAATTGAATTTGTCACATTCTTCATAAACAACAGGTGTAGACTAACAGTGAAATGCTCTTAGAGGTCATTTTCCAACAATGCAGAGTTAAAGATAAAGATACAAAATTAAATAAAAAAATAGAAATAGTGACACGAGGAATAAATACACAGTGAATAATGAATAACACTAATGAGGCTATATACAGGGAGTACAAGTACTGAGTCGATGTGCAGGGGTACGAGGTAATTAAGGAAGGAATGCTTCTCCCTCTCAGATACAGTGGTGGAGTTTGGTTAGTGTAACATTTTGCTAGCGGAGAGAGCAGGTGTCTGGGACAAATGTTTAAAAAGTTCCCCTGAGTTGTCGTCACTAGTTAACACAGCAATAAAGTCATAATTATGGCTAAACCACACCCATTTCTACAATGTCTCTTCTTAAAATCTGATTTTAAACCTAACCCTAACATCAACCCTAATCTTAACAACACTGCTAACCTTCTGCCTAACCCTAACCTGAAATTAAGACTAATATTTTTTTGTGCCAATTTTGACATTGTGGCTGTGTTATCTAGTAGAAACCCCCCTGAGGATTGTGGAAGATCCACTAGATACTGAACACTTCTTGGTCAGATGATAAGGGAAGGTTCGGTATTTAGGCCAAGACTGCTGATGTATAGCCTATTACCTGGAAAAACCCTGCCCTGGCATGCGTATCGTGATTGCTCTGAAAGGTTTCCAATAATTGTCAAGTAGTCTGTTCAGGTCACAACTTGTGAGGAATATATCTCAAACTCCATATGGCCATATTTGTTAACCTTTTCTAGAATGTAACAAACCTGACATGAAAAAATGTGCATCAGTATTCAACAGTGTTTAATAGGCTTGAGTCTGAGAATGTAATTCCTCTCTAATGTATTGATGAAAGTAGTTTACAACAGCTAGGATTAATCATGTGATATATACACACAATGCTGTGTTAAGTGACCTTCACCATTAAAATAAACCCTTTCATGCTCAGTTAAAAGCCCTGCCACTTTGATGACTGCCACTAAGAGACTCCCTTTAAAACTAATCTGTTTCCAAGAAAATGTTATTTCAAATGTATTTGATTGATTTTACGATTATTACACTGTAATGTTACTATAACCTTGCACCAGGCTGTTGTCACTGCAGTGCTGCTAACTAACAAATCAGGTCAAACAGGCTCATCAAAACCTCTCTAAAAGTCTGTCCTCTTTGTCATGGCAGATATAAGTAGTATTAGATAATAAGTATATTATACTATATGCACTACAAAATAAGTTGGTATTTTATTTATTTTGTATAAAACAAATCGCGACACAAATATTCAATACAAATACAGTATTTACAGATTCAATACACAAAACAACACATCTTTAAGACCTTTCACCAAATGAACAGACATTTTTTTATAATAGTTTGTTATGAATGATTATCATCCTGGGTATATACAAGTGTAAATTACATTTAAGAAAATTCACAGTAAAACAGAAAAAACTGATAGCATTGCTCACCCAGGTGGAGAGTTTCTGTGTTGTCCTGGCAACGGGATAGGTGCCCTCATTACAACTATGGATCTTGTAAATTAACAATACAGCTATGAGCACAACGATTTAACAAAGACAGAAACAGAGTAGAGAGCATGACACTTGGTAAAAATGTCTTCTTCCTGTAAAAAAATGCTATATTACTTCAGAGATCCTCCAACTGTCACAGAGCAGCAGAGGTCAAATGGCAAACATGGTGTAGCTTAAGGTTCAGAGGTCACGAAATAAAGAAGAAGTCTTTGAGGCTGTAGAGTCAGAGTAAAGTATTTTGTTTCTGAACAGTGTCTGAGAAAGAGTAGGCTGGGCTCAGAGTGGGCAGGAGATCTGTTGGAGATAACTGGTCATGTTGTTGTTCAGTGTGTTGTTCAGGGCCCAGTGGTCAGTATAAGAGAGGAGATCTTCAGCCATTGGTTGTCCTGGGCTCAGTTCTGTGTATAACCGCAGCTCTATTTCTGACCCTATAAGACAAACAAAACAAAACAAAGCCGGTCAGTGATGCAAGAGAAACACAGCTGAATGAAGTTACAGATTACCTCTTATGTTGTGCAATGTTGAGAGCAGCCGTGTTAGAGGATTCTGATGTAATGAAAAAATTAAATAGGGAAGCTTAGGCTCCGGTGTGATCATTCAGTTCTTGTCCCTGCCATCTGTTTACCTTACATGCATTATCATGTTTCACACCTTATGCATATGAGAAGGAAATACTATTGACTGAAATACGTTCCTCAATCGTCTGACTCAGCGTTTTACAAATGAACGTTTTTCATTTTTATTTTATTTTTACAAATCTGTTTCTAAAGGCCCTTGGATTCCATCAGAGTTTTATTTTCCTGTTGTAGTCTTTAATTTTGACTAGCAAATGTTACACAAAGACAATACATGCAGACATGATGAAATCCTGCTGTTGAATAGTACAGTATAACAAACAGCCTGATTCCCTCTAGCATCATTTACCTGAGTTATCACTCCATTGGCTCTCTGGACTGTGATTAGACTCTGCTGTGTTGTATGACTCTGCTGTGGCTACTTCATTGCTCAGGAAACCCTTGATGTTTACACTGTCTTGCTGCTCCAATTGCTCCAATTGCTCCAATTGCTCCCAATGCTGTGCAATCTGAAAGAGCAAAACACAGGGGATAAGCCTGGTTGCATTTTTGCTTGGTTTAACTGTGTTATAATTTTTTGTATTCAATGCAGAATATCTGGTAAACATGGGTATTCCTGATAATGAAAAAAGCACACTGAACGTGTACTGGTAGAGACAAACTTACCTCAATAAGGGTTTCTTCATTCATATCTAGACTCTCTTCATAGTCTGTAAAGTTGAAGAAGGAAAATTGACATGAGCATTGCTGTGCAAACCTCAATTATATTTGCAGCCAACACTGAAACACAAAGAGTTGAATCAAACCCAAGCATCAAGCAAGCTTAATCTTACCTGTGGAGTGATCCGGTGACACTTGGAAAGACGGGTAGTATTCGTTGGTGCCTTCTGGGCCTATTTCCACAGAGGTGGAAAAGTCTGGAACATCAGCATTGGTGCTGTCTGGGCCCATTTCCACAGAGGTGGGAAAGTCTGTAACATCAGGGTCGTACTTTGTAAAACCTTAATAGAAAAGACAAAGAAAACCATAAGGACAACCATTCATTTGAATCCTCACGTTCAGTCACATCTCACATGCAGTTTTGTGAACGAATCAGTGAATTCATAGTCTCTTGTCCTTTGTTTCTTTTGTTGGGACAATGTTTAATGTAAATTCTGCAGCGTTTGTATATCAGAGTCTGGTAATCATTGACAGAGCCATCAAGATATGACGCTGCTGTGATGGTCTCACCTAGGTTGTATGTGCTGTCGACTGTGCTGTCGACTGTGCTCTCCTGTGTCATTCTGACCTCCTGCAGGTGTGTGTTGGTGTTGCGGTCCTCTGGGCAATGGGTTTCACTGTAGTCCATTTCCTCTGTCTTGATGTTTAACCCCTAGAAGAGAAAACAGCAAAACATGAAATAAGATTGTAATATTCATCTCTGTTGACACTGGTCTTTATACAGCCAGCTAAATACACATGCACCGGTCTTTATTCAGCAGAGGGAAAACAGTACTACATGTGATGATAAAGGGATTCTAAAGAGGGTTGCAGTTCAAAAGTAATATAACCTTACCTTGTTGTTATTCTTTGCATCCTTTGCTTTTGACCTCTTGTTATTTGGCTTTGTGCAGACGTTCAGCATTCTGTAAACGCGCACCGCTCCAGACCCTCTGTTGATGCTCTTGTCTTTCACCTCCTTGATGTCAGGAAGGGAGTTCATTGCACAGCGGAAATTAGCCTTCCATGTCTTAGGGTCTGGTGTAGTCTCGCCTTGTATGAATTTCCCTGCATCAACAGACAAGTAATATCATTGTTATTATGATGCAGAAAGTATATTGAAAAACCCTGAGGTGCTGAAGTGCATATTGTTAATCTAGGTGAAAGTCCATTATTATGAGAGTAGGTAGTCTAGTTACGTGTCATTTTCTCACCTGTGTGCATAGCCCATTGCTTGAATAGACAGGCATCCTTGTTCAGGTCCCATCCGTGACGTGCAGCATGCTTCCATGGGATGGAGAAAATCTTCTTGTCCTGGACAAAACCACAAAGAAATGGGTTTCAAATTAGCGCCTCCTATCTCTCACCCCAGCTTCTCCTGTACATGCCTAGTTTTGAGTAGTCCTGTTCATGGGTAATAGTACTAAATATGTTTTGAGATGTCAATGTCTCGACTGAGTTCTCTTCTTACAATGACAGTGTCCCACTGCAGTGTTTCAGGGAGTATTGTCTAAAAAAAGCATTAGATGAGTTTGACGAGCAGGAAAGTATTACCTTGTCCACCCACACCAAACCACTGATGGAGTTGGACTCAATCTTATCCTCCAGCCAAGGCCTCATTCTCATCCTAGACACAGGCATGGTTCCTGGGAGATCAAGGAGAAGAGATAAGCTTAGTTTTAGACACATGGTATTTAGATGTACAAGCATGTCACTCCCACCCACTACCCTGCTCAGTTAGTGCAGATGTTTAGTGCGCTCAGTGAAGTTCATGACCAGGAAATGTGATGTAGCGACTATGACCATTGCCAACAACTGGCAAATTACTGGAAATCTGTGCAAAGAGAAAGTGAAAGAGAGCAGTACTTCTAGTATGTCTATAATGTGCATTTTAGAACTACATTAAAATTATTTAAACGTGTTTTAATTATCTTATTCAAGCAGCTGAAAGGTTATGCTATACAGTGGTGTAAAGTACTTGACTTAAGTCGTTTTTTGGGGTATCTTTAATATTTATATTTTTCACTACTTTTACTTTTACTTTACTACATTTCTTAAGAAAATAATGTACTTTTTACTCCATACATTTTCCCTGTTCGATTTCGAATGCTTAGCAGGACAGGAAAATTGTCAAATTCACACATTTATCAAGAGAACATCCCTGATCATCCCTACTGTCTCTGACCTGGCAGACTCACTAAACACATTTGTAAATGATGTGAATGAGTGTTTAAATTTTACGTCATTTAGCGGACGCTCTTATCCAGAGCGACTTACAGTTAGTGAGTGCATACATTACTTTATTTTTAATACTGGCCCCCCGTGGGAATCGAACCCACAACCCTGGCGTTGCAAACGCCATGCTCTACCAACTGAGCTACATCCCTTGGAGTGTGCCCCTGGCTATTCATAAATAAATAAATAAAAACAAGAAAATGGTGCCATCTGGTTTGCTTAATATAAGGAATTTGAAATTATTTATACTTGTACTTTTACTTTTGATACTTAAGTATATTTGATCAATTACATTTACTTTTGATATTTAAGTATATTTAAAACCAAATACTTTTAGACTTTTACTCAAGTAGTATTTTACTGGGTGACTGACTTTTACTTGGGTCATTTTCTATTAAGGTATCTTTACTTTTACTCAAGTATGACAATTGGGTACTTTTTCCACCACCTGATGCTATATCGCTATTTATGTTGCATTCGAGGTTAAAGGGAGCGGGTTCTTTAGAAGCTCTTCAAAAGAACTAACAGACGTATTCAACCACGCAAACTTTAGTCGTGCACTGAACAAGTGCATGCATATTTTGACCAATGCATTACAGTGCCTCTAAATTAGTGTTGCAACCTTGACCTACTAAAACTTGCAACTTTATATTTTAACTAGAACTTTTAAAAAGTCATAAATATACTAGTGCAATGTTGCATTAATTATAACTGCATTGTTCCACTTCTCGTTAAATTCACAAATGAGCGCACCTCGAGTTCTAGCCTCCTGTCAGTGTAAATAAAATCTGTCAAAATATGTGGGATATATATGCCCAATGACCACGCACGCTGCTGCACACATGGAAAACCAAATCCCAGTCAATTGAATAGAAAATAGCCTATACTATAAATTACAAGTATATCTGCTGTAAATATGTACAAAGAGCACTAGCACAAACACAACGTTTCTACGTAGCCTTGTGCATGCAATAATAAAATAAAATAACTTACAGCTGCAATATGATGTCGCTTAATCCCGGTGATTTGTAATTGAGCCTAAAAGCAGGTATTCCCTTTAGTGAAGCTGGAGCGGGATGTTATTCCTCTGTGATTGCTTGTAACGTTAATATCCACTCTGGTCTTCATTGGCAGTGTGTACAGTCTGCTCAAGGAAACGGCTTTTTATATAAAGTGGGTGGGATTTCCCTAATACAGTATCATGCACACACTTCATTGGTGGGGGGGCAGTTTTGGCAGCAGTCGGCATCTGCGCTGAGGCACCTCAATGCAGGCGCGCTCAAACTTCAGGCAACATGATTTCCGAGAAACCATGCTGTTGTGAGAGAAGGCGTAACGAGGAAGTCTTGAGCAGACCCAATAAACGCATATATTGCACGATGCTGCACGTAGCAGTATCATGACGTTTCATTTTACAATATCTTGGCTCAGTGAAGTAATCATTCCACACGTATTCCCGTCGTTTAATTTAATGCAGCCGATATCCTAAATAATGACACATAATTAGAGAATAAGATTGCACTATTTTATAGCATAAGTAAACCAAATGCAACCAGAGGGTTAGTGTCCTATTCTGTAATTGATGCAACTATATCCCGCAAAGCATCAAACAACAGCCAAAGTTCAGGCGAGGGCAAGCCCTAAAGAATAAATGGTAGTCGAGTTGCGCTTTTCCGGGAAATGGTGTAGGACAGTATTAAAATCACCGACAGGGGCAGTCTTGACTGTTCAGTTGACACAGAGTTGTGTCACAGACTCCAGTCCAGACTTAATGTAAGTCACTGCTGTCAACAGTGCGTTTCTTGTTTACATAAGATAAACAAACAGGGGCGGACTGGCCACTCGGTAGCCAGGCCCACCCACTCAGATTTAAAAAAACAAAAAACAAATATATTTACAAATTAAAACAATTTTTACTTGTCAGTGTTCCAAATGGGATATTATATGTATTTTCACCTAAACATGCAAACACCATCAGATAGAATTCTTAGCAAGCAGTAAACTGGGTTAGTCAGATTTGAAGAAATATAACAGAACAGATGACCTGGAATGACATTCAATCTCATGGGATGGGTTGCCAAAAATAACTAACTGAAAGCCACCCCAATAAGCCAAGAAAATGACTGCAGTAAGGATATGTCACTGTGCTTATATGGCTATATGCACCATGCCACTGACTATTTCATTTGTTAATTTATCAAACAAGATGGATCATAATCCAGTGCCTTTTTCAGTCAACACAACTACATTTTACCTTCAGTTAGCTTTAATATGCTACATTTTCTCTCAGCCTCAAGGCAAAACGTGTAGAATACCACGAGATTAGCTATAAAACTGCACATTTTTCTCTTTGCCCAATGTCAAAATATGTAAAATTGCAGGAAGTTAGCTTCTTTGAGGGGACCACCGTATTTTAGCTAGCTAACATTAGCATTGCTAGCTATTTTTGATTAACTTCGCTAGTAACAGTAACTGCAACATTTCCATCTCTCTAAAGTAAATTAGAATACATCATAATATGGAAAAGATGTTTCCTACAAATTATTTGCCTACTTTAGCAATGTCATTGGATTTCCATGCCACTCTAAATTGGTGTAACTTAGACGAAACACTCACAAATAGCCTCCGAGGTGCAACCTATGTCCAGGGCACAAATAAATATTGAATGCAGCTATGGTGGTACTAGCTAACTCATGTCTGACTACAACAGTGTATTAACTAGCAACAAACTCAAACCAACCCAGGGCCATAGCAAACCATGTCACAGTTGGTTGCATAGTGTAACAGCATCACCGGCCTGAATCTAATCCAATCTGGAGCCAGTCAGTCTACATCTGTAAAGCATACAATTAGCTTCCAAATGAGATTACGTCATTTCTCAAGCTATGTTTATAATTGAGGGATGATGACAATCATTGACCGTGTTTTTCTGTTGGACAAAGTGCAAAATGTGATTGCAATGGTTTAGTGACCTCCAAAAATAATTGTATTCACTGTTCACTTGCCATGTTCACAGCTTGACATCAGCCAACTGCTCGCCCATACGATAACATACACGTGGTCTGCGGTTATGAGGCCGGTTGGACGTACTGCCAAATTCTCTAAAACGACGTTGGAAGCGGCTTATGGTAGAGAAATTAACATTAAATTATCTGGCAACAGCTCTGGTGGACATTCCTGCAGTCAGCATGCCTGCCAACTGCAGACTCCCTCAAAACTTGAGACATCAGTGGCATTGTGTTGTGTGACAAAACTGCACATTTTAGAGTGGCCTTTTATTGTCCCCAGAAGGGATGTCCACCAGAGCTGTTGCCAGAGAATTGAATGTTCTCTACCATACGTGCACTTGTGTAATAATCATGCTGTTTTTTTTTTTTTTTTTAAACGTTTTACCCCTTTTTCTCCCCAATTTCGTGATATCCAATTGGTAGTTACAGTCTTGTCCCATTGCTGCAGCTCCCGTACGGACTCGGGAGAGGTGAAGGATAATCATGCTGTATAATCAGCTTCTTGATATGCCACACCTGTCAGGTGGATGGATTATGTTGGCAAAGGAGAAATGCTTAGTAACAGGGCTGTAAACAAATTTGTGCACAAAATCTTAGCGAAATAAGCTTTTTGTGTGTATGGAACATTTCTGGGATCTTTTATTTCAGCTCATGAAACATGTGACCAACACTTTACATATTGTGTTTATATTTTTGTTCAGTGTATATTTCCACACTATGAGGTTGGAATGATACTTTGAAATTGTGAAAATTATGATAATGCCCATTTAGTGTAAGAGGTTTTTGAAAAGACTGCCTGAAATTTCAGCCTGTTTCGGTGGGATGGAGTTTTGGCCTGTCTGGTGACATCACCAGGCAGTAAATTAGTTAATAGACCAATAAGAAAAATAGTTCCAAACCTCTCTGCCAATAACAACTAGTTTTCAGTTTTCCCCTTCCCACTCAGACCACTCCCAGACAGTCCAATAAATGTTCTTGTTTGAGAATTTATCTTTGCTAAAAAGTCATTTTTGTTTCTTTTTGACCATTTTAATTGAAAACAATCACAGTAAGGTGCTAAATTGTTATCCAGAAATGATTTGATATTGAGATAAAAACGGCTTGATTGGATCTTTAAATTGCAACTCACCACAAATCTGTCTGACTGAAATGGAAATATAGACAGCAACCTGCTTCAAATATTCTATTCATGTTACAGTGGCTTGCGAAAGTATTCACCCCCCTTGGCATTTTTCCTATTTTGTTGTCTTACAACCTGGAATTAAAATGCATTTTTGGGGGGTTTGTATAATTTGATTTACACAATATGCCTACCACTTTGAAGATGCAAAAATTGTTTTTGGGGTGGAACAAACAAGAAATAAGACAAAGTAACAGAAAACTTGAGTGTGCATAACCATTCTTCAAGGCAAAACTGCTCCAGCTCCTTCAAGTTGGAAGGGTTCCGCTGGTGTACAGCAATCTTTAAGTCATACCACAGATTCTCAATTGGATTGAGGTCTGGGCTTTGACTAGGCCATTCCAAGACATTTAAACGTTACCCCTTAAACCACTCAAGTGTTGCTTTAGCAGTATGCTTTGGGTCATTATCCTGCTGGAAGGTGAACCTCCGTCCCAGTCTCAAATCTCTGGAAGACTGAAACAGGTTTCCCTCAAGAATTTCCCTGTATTTAGCGCCATCCATCATTCCTTCAAATCGTTCCTAACCCGGAAGATGCAGGGCCAATTGTGCGTCGCCTCATTGGTCTCCCGGTCACGGCCGGCTGCGACACAGCCCGGGATCGAACCCGAATCTGTAGTGACTCAGACCGCTGCGCCACTCGGGAGGCCCGCATTAATATCATTTTTGATTGATTAATTTAAAGGCCTTGTGAAGCAACCGGCATGTCTATTGACTTCTAAATCAGTCACAGAATATCTATCAGAAATAAATACACTGAAGCCCCTGGGTCTTTATAAAACAAAAACCCAAATTAAATGTGTGAACAGATTAGATACGTGTCTATAAGTGACTCTTTGAACTTACAATGGCTAGCCCCAAGTCGTTTATTTTTTTTCTTGTCCTTTATGCTATTTGCCTCATGACTCCTGCGTGCTTTGTTGACTATGAACTTGCTTGTTTACCCAACCGTGGGACAGACTATGTTTATTCCCACACTCGGGACTCTGACTCTCTATTGGTAACACAGACTCTTGGCTTCCCATCCTATTCTAACCACCTCTTGCTGGCTTTGTATTCATGTTACCTGATGAAATTGCTGTACAATATTATCTTGTTGCCATCCGATGCACATTCAAATGTCATAAATGTCCCTATCCTCTGCCGTGACCTGATTGTATTACTGCTGATGATATCTGGAAATGTGCATGTACACCCTGGCCCATCTACTGTTGCTAGCCCCAATTCTGACTTGTGCTCTGATATGTTTCACTGATTTTTGATCTCGTAATTGCCTAGGTTTTCTGCACGTTAACACTAGAAGCTTATTACCTAAAATATATCAATTGAAAGTGTGGGTTCACAGCTCCAATCCAGATGTGTTGGTCATTACTGAGACGTGGTTAAGAAAGAGTGTTTTGAACACTGATGTTAACCTTTCTGGTTATAACCTTTTTCGGCAAGACAGATCTTCCAAAGGTGGTGGAGTGGCAATCTTTACCAAGGAACACCTTCAGTGCTCGGTTGTCTCCACCAAGTCAGTCCCCAAACAATTTGATTTGCTGGTTTTAAGCATTACATTTTCAAATAGCTCTTTGTTTCACTGTTGCTGGGTGTTATCGTCCACCATCAGCACCGGCCTGTACCCTAAATGCCCTACGCTTACACTAAGTCTGAATTTGTCCTGCTAGGTGACCTAAACTGGGACATGCTTAAACCACCTGACCAAGTCCTAAAGCAATGGGACTCCCTAAATCTTTCTCAGATTATTACCAATCCCACAAGGTATGACTCCAAATACCCAGAAAAGGCTACTCTCCTTGATGTTATCCAAATAATCCTGATAGGTATCAGTCTGGTGTTTTCTGTAATGACCTTAGTGATCATTGTTTTACAGCCTGTGTTCGTAATGGCTGCTCAGTGAAACGACCTGTTCTGATTTGTCATAGACGCTTGCTAAAAATCTTTAATGAG